ATTCATCGGAGGTAACGCGAGAAGCGAGAGAACACTTAAACGCACAACCCATTGCATTTAAGCTTCGAGAGCATTTTTCCCGTTGCTCGATCAGTTCGAACTTCGAAGAACCCAGTCGAATTTACAGCTCGAACTCTAAAGTACGAGGTACCACTGTAATATCATTATAATCAATAGAAACACTTTGGTAGATTGTTTAAGTAAGAAACCATTTATTACAGTCGATAAAAGAAAAATTCCATTATTCTGGAGAGAAACCTTTTACCTGCGACCATTGCAAACGGAGCTTTACACGAAGACAAAATCTAGTAAAACATCTTCGCATTCACACGGGAGAAAAGCCATATTCTTGTCAGTTCTGCGCTCGAAGATTCAGTCGTAAATACAGTTTACGACGGCACGTTAGGATTCATTTTGGAGAGAAACCTTTTACTTGCGACCATTGCAAACGGAACTTTACACAAAGACAAAATCTAGTAAAACATCTTCGCATTCACACTGGCGAAAAGCCATTTGCTTGTGATCACTGCAAACGGAGATTTTCAAGGAAACATCATCTAATAAGTCATCTTCGCATTCACACAGGGCAAAATACTTTAAAATTGTCTTGAAAATTCAGTTTAAATTATCACAGGAAACACCTTTCGAATAAATATTCGTAAAGACCTTTTTCAAATTTTGAATATTTTAGATTTCGTTCAATATTTATTTTATTGATTTAAATATTTCTTTTATGTAATTTATGTAGTTATGACAATAAAGTGTTGTCGAATTGTAAGATTGAGTTTTCTTATTGTAATTAAGAAATAAAGAAGCTTTGTTAGAAGAAAGTAAAATGGTGACAGTCATTGTTGAATAACAAACGACTGAGAAGTTTTAATTTACCTTTTGAATTGTTTAATGCAACGTTATGACGGAAAATAAAGTCGACCCCCCTCTATAACACCGTTGATAATTTTGTTTTATATGAATTCCGTATTGTACGAGTCACTTATATTCTACAAATACGTGAGCCGTTCACAGCCCTGCACACGTATTTGTAAAATATAAGTCACTCTTAGAACACGGAATTCATATAAAACGGAATTAACAACAGTGTAATAGGCCGGTCGACTGTACTCAGAGATTATTTTATTTCTTATTTAGTAAAAAGAAATATCTGTATGTACGGACACATAACGAAACACATTAGAATCATGAATATCTATCTCAACACAAAATAAAATAATGTTCATAATACAGCGCATAGTAAGAAGCCTTTATAAAACAATACAGTGATGATAAGAATTGGTAATAACAATGAAGTTTAGTGAATTCCCGTAGCTTTTCAAACGACTTGTCTAGGAAGTTTTTCTACATCATTTGTCTGAATTCTTGAATGTAATAATTTGACTAACATTTGATTTCCAATATTATAATGTGGAAAGTGTTAAGAAATGTGAATTTTGTACTGTTATTCACAACTGCCAGGGTGCGTCACATCGTTCCGCGCCTGATTTTGTACCGAGTTCCGCCATGTTAGAAACTAAACAAAAGCCTTGTGCTGGTCGACTGTTCTTTGTATTTGTTTGTTCAATAAAACGTAGTTTACACTCAGTGTATCATTATACACAATCCCTTCACTTTTAACAGAAAGTACTCAGAGAATGACATTACATTATGAATCATCAAGAGAAACACTAAGAATATCGTTCATTTAAGTTTAAAATTTTTCATATCTCTTTTCTATTATGAAAGATCTTACGGTAAAGATGAATTTATAAAAATATTGTAAATTTTAATAACGAATAGCATTTTTATTAAGTCTGGCCTCATCCGAGGTACGACACGTGATCCTCTCTTCATCTTCCCACTCGCTCCAGCTTCAACCAGGAAAATTTAATAGCACAATTTTCCTTATATACGAGTTATCGTGCCAAATTTCGTTTCTTCACCTTTACCTAATTTAATATATTAAGAAATAGATGCCAACAGAAACAGGGGAAAATAAAACTCAAAGCATACAGAATAACAGAAAAAAGGAAGAATAAAGATGCAAATTCAAAAACTAATCAATAAATTGGATATACTTTAATACATACAAATATCGCCAGTAATCGTCGAAGCTATCTATAAATGACGAAGATAGTTTCATATACCTTATTTGAATGAGGTTGAAACAATTTTCACGTACCAACCGACCATATTTATTACGATATAGGATGATACCGAAAACTTACACCATAAAGATACTGCAATTTAACAAGAGCAGAAAGGCGATATATTGCGTAAACGGAAAGTAAAGAAATTCATCTGGAGCTGAACCAATCCGTAGTTTTTACTCCAGCCGAGAGCCCAGTTGAATCTTAAAAATTCCGAGCTGTGCTCAGCTCATTTGTATAGCTGTATCAAGGACGATCAGCACCCGATAGTTTTCCACTCATAATTTTCAGTTTTTATCGTATTTGCGTAATTTAAATCAAGACTCGAAGCAACGATATTTCAATGTATTTCCAAAATGTTTCTATCAGTTTATATGAAAAGAAATTAAGAAATGTAAATTATTTAAATAGAAGAAAATTTATAGAATATAAATCGTAAACACCGTTTTTATAACAACAACTTTTCTAAATTATATTTTTTATAAACGAGAATATTTTGTAAAAATTAAAACACTTTTAGACAATATTTTTCGGCATCAATCATTTCCATGAGCTCATTTGCATATAAACTGTATTATCGACAACTTAATCGTTTCTTTTGTATTGTAAGTATTGTAAGTATGTTTATGGCTAAACGAAACCATTGAGTGATATTTTAGAATTTCTGACAATTTTCGTTGTTATTCCTACGAATTTCTGACAATTTTCGTTGTTATTCCTACGAATTTCCAACAATCTAATTGTTAGAGCGAAGGAACATGTCGAACGTAGGAGTTCGAGAAAGATTCAACCTCGAGGAAATAACTATAACTAACGAGAATAGAGAATCTGTGGTCGTGTCGCGAAAATCCTTGATACACAAAGGAGGATTATTGAAACACTTCGTAATTGTGTGTCCGAATGAACGGAATTTCATTGTCAGACTATCTCTGACGTTGGAAACGCTCGAGCAATTTGCCAGGTTTGTACGAATCTATTATTTAAAAACTTACTTAAATTGGTATACGGCAGTATGAAAATATTTCCGTAAACATTGGTGCGAGTATGTAAAATAATTTGCATGTATTAACTCTTTCCCACACGGCCCACCAGTGGTCGAGCGGTCTATGCTCCCTGAACACTGGGAGTTCGGTCCTGGGTTCGCGCCTCGATCGTATGGGCTAGCCACGTTGAGTTTTCCGAGTTTTCTTCACGTCTGTAACGCCTAAATAACGACCAATTTCCCTTAAAAAACCTCCCGGAAGGGATCCCCTTTATAGGCCATCCTGTTGCCATAACTAAACAAACAAACTTTCCCACACCCTAAACAATACTCATTTCGATAAACTTAAAACAGCAAACACACATAATTTAAGATAAATAGAGCAAATAAATGTCGCAATGCAATATATATTCGAACACATCAAAAATAAAACGTAAAAAAGTACAGAATTCATCGGAGGTAACGCGAGAAGCGAGAGAACACTTAAACGCACAACCCATTGCATTTAAGCTTCGAGAGCATTTTTCCCGTTGCTCGATCAGTTCGAACTTCGAAGAACCCAGTCGAATTTACAGCTCGAACTCTAAAGTACGAGGTACCACTGTAATATCATTATAATCAATAGAAACACTTTGGTAGATTGTTTAAGTAAGAAACCATTTATTACAGTCGATAAAAGAAAAATTCCATTATTCTGGAGAGAAACCTTTTACCTGCGACCATTGCAAACGGAGCTTTACACGAAGACAAAATCTAGTAAAACATCTTCGCATTCACACGGGAGAAAAGCCATATTCTTGTCAGTTCTGCGCTCGAAGATTCAGTCGTAAATACAGTTTACGACGGCACGTTAGGATTCATTTTGGAGAGAAACCTTTTACTTGCGACCATTGCAAACGGAACTTTACACAAAGACAAAATCTAGTAAAACATCTTCGCATTCACACTGGCGAAAAGCCATTTGCTTGTGATCACTGCAAACGGAGATTTTCAAGGAAACATCATCTAATAAGTCATCTTCGCATTCACACAGGGCAAAATACTTTAAAATTGTCTTGAAAATTCAGTTTAAATTATCACAGGAAACACCTTTCGAATAAATATTCGTAAAGACCTTTTTCAAATTTTGAATATTTTAGATTTCGTTCAATATTTATTTTATTGATTTAAATATTTCTTTTATGTAATTTATGTAGTTATGACAATAAAGTGTTGTCGAATTGTAAGATTGAGTTTTCTTATTGTAATTAAGAAATAAAGAAGCTTTGTTAGAAGAAAGTAAAATGGTGACAGTCATTGTTGAATAACAAACGACTGAGAAGTTTTAATTTACCTTTTGAATTGTTTAATGCAACGTTATGACGGAAAATAAAGTCGACCCCCCTCTATAACACCGTTGATAATTTTGTTTTATATGAATTCCGTATTGTACGAGTCACTTATATTCTACAAATACGTGAGCCGTTCACAGCCCTGCACACGTATTTGTAAAATATAAGTCACTCTTAGAACACGGAATTCATATAAAACGGAATTAACAACAGTGTAATAGGCCGGTCGACTGTACTCAGAGATTATTTTATTTCTTATTTAGTAAAAAGAAATATCTGTATGTACGGACACATAACGAAACACATTAGAATCATGAATATCTATCTCAACACAAAATAAAATAATGTTCATAATACAGCGCATAGTAAGAAGCCTTTATAAAACAATACAGTGATGATAAGAATTGGTAATAACAATGAAGTTTAGTGAATTCCCGTAGCTTTTCAAACGACTTGTCTAGGAAGTTTTTCTACATCATTTGTCTGAATTCTTGAATGTAATAATTTGACTAACATTTGATTTCCAATATTATAATGTGGAAAGTGTTAAGAAATGTGAATTTTGTACTGTTATTCACAACTGCCAGGGTGCGTCACATCGTTCCGCGCCTGATTTTGTACCGAGTTCCGCCATGTTAGAAACTAAACAAAAGCCTTGTGCTGGTCGACTGTTCTTTGTATTTGTTTGTTCAATAAAACGTAGTTTACACTCAGTGTATCATTATACACAATCCCTTCACTTTTAACAGAAAGTACTCAGAGAATGACATTACATTATGAATCATCAAGAGAAACACTAAGAATATCGTTCATTTAAGTTTAAAATTTTTCATATCTCTTTTCTATTATGAAAGATCTTACGGTAAAGATGAATTTATAAAAATATTGTAAATTTTAATAACGAATAGCATTTTTATTAAGTCTGGCCTCATCCGAGGTACGACACGTGATCCTCTCTTCATTTTCCCACTCGCTCCAGCTTCAACCAGGAAAATTTAATAGCACAATTTTCCTTATATACGAGTTATCGTGCCAAATTTCGTTTCTTCACCTTTACCTAATTTAATATATTAAGAAATAGATGCCAACAGAAACAGGGGAAAATAAAACTCAAAGCATATAGAATAACAGAAAAAAGGAAGAATAAAGATGCAAATTCAAAAACTAATCAATAAATTGGATATACTTTAATACATACAAATATCGCCAGTAATCGTCGAAGCTATCTATAAATGACGAAGATAGTTTCATATACCTTATTTGAATGAGGTTGAAACAATTTTCACGTACCAACCGACCATATTTATTACGATATAGGATGATACCGAAAACTTACACCATAAAGATACTGCAATTTAACAAGAGCAGAAAGGCGATATATTGCGTAAACGGAAAGTAAAGAAATTCATCTGGAGCTGAACCAATCCGTAGTTTTGTNAACCCTTTACTTATTTTCTAATTTAAATTTAGTAAATATTTATCGAATTTATAAAATTTATTCATATATTCACTAGGATATCGTATAAAATATAAAATTTCTTAATTATTTCAGTTAAAAAATGAATTTTTACTTGGAAATGTTTTATGCGAAATGTTTATTTCATCCATTAAATTCAATATGATTGTCAGGAGTTTCCTTTTACTAACAAAACTTCTTAGTCTACGTTTACGCCATTTTATAACGCACAAATCTTTACATTATTCTAATCTAATGTCACTTGAAGAAGCTTGTAAATTATTGAAATTGAATTGAACCTGCAGCTCATGATATCCAATATGAATGCTTACAAATGCCGGCATAACTGTTTCTAGACTTTATAAGCATTCTTTATTTGATTTTACTCTTTATAGTTCGAACATTTATCTTTAAGTCTGCAGATTTACAGAAAATTATTAATAGGAATGAATACTAATAAAAAAAATGATGGTTATTTAATTGTTTTAAAAATATTTCCATATCCAATCTCTTCAATATACAGTGTTATTATAAATAAATAATCGGGGCCTTAAAGTTCTGTAACTTCAAAGTATCGCGCTGGGTATCCACTCCAGACACGAATCAATAGAGAAATTTTCGAAATTTGAAGCGCAGTTATGAAGATTTCCTCTCCACACACCAAGTAGCATTCGACATTCGTTGTCAAAATAGTGGCTACGAAACAAAAGACTTTCCTATTACTTTGTTTAAAGAAGAATGGAGCTTCTGAGCTACATACCGAGGTGCGTCGTACTTGAACGCAGAACTTCACCACTGCTAGAATGGACGTTGAATCAACGATGAAGCTCTGTATCGATACTTTCCACGCGTTCAGATAACTCGCCGTGTGAATTCTCTTCTGTTGAAGTATCTAAAGAACACGGTTTATGAGCCACCATTAACCACGTGATTGGCAAAGCTCCGGGACCTCATTACATCTGCAATTACGACCATCCAGAGAATACGTGAAAAGAACTAAAAATTGCTTAGATATGTGACTAGAAAAAGAACACATAGAACAGCTTTATTCGTGTAACACAAACTTCGATTGTTCTTAAATCTTTTCAATAAAAATATATTTGGTATACGCTTTAGACGAAATTGTTTTCAGCGGAAATTTTTTTATTGTATAAATTAGAGGAAGAAATTGAAAAAAGTTGAAAAGTAGTCACGAATATACGCTATATTTCCCAATTATCAGAAGAAGCAATTACAATACAATCAATAAATACAATGCCGAAACGACGAGAATAATTAAACATTGAAAGATAATATCAGATAATAAATGTCGATGGACGTTTCGATTAGCAATAAATAATTACGCGTATTGTGTACTAATAATTATTCAATTGGGAATATGCGATATACACTCGAGATAAAATTTTGTTGAAGAAATTACGTAACGTTAGTGAGTGACGTCGATGTTTTTTGACTTTTTGCTTTTGAATGTCAGGTGGAGCCACTAGATTTTTTAAAATTGTAACTGCCGACTTAACCGCCAATTCGATTAAAGTTGGGAGAGATTGGGGGGTTTGTGTATTATAAAAAGGAGAAAATTTAGTCTTTTTTAATTAAAAAAGGAAGGAATTTGTTGTAAGGAAGAGAAATGCCGACAACGATAATATTGAATTTATAAGGTGAGACGAACGTTTCAATTGGAATATTTNAGGAATGAGGTTGAAACAATTTTCACGTACCAACCGACCATATTTATTACGATATAGGATGATACCGAAAACTTACACCATAAAGATACTGCAATTTAACAAGAGCAGAAAGGCGATATATTGCGTAAACGGAAAGTAAAGAAATTCATCTGGAGCTGAACCAATCCGTAGTTTTTACTCCAGCCGAGAGCCCAGTTGAATCTTAAAAATTCCGAGCTGTGCTCAGCTCATTTGTATAGCTGTATCAAGGACGATCAGCACCCGATAGTTTTCCACTCATAATTTTCAGTTTTTATCGTATTTGCGTAATTTAAATCAAGACTCGAAGCAACGATATTTCAATGTATTTCCAAAATGTTTCTATCAGTTTATATGAAAAGAAATTAAGAAATGTAAATTATTTAAATAGAAGAAAATTTATAGAATATAAATCGTAAACACCGTTTTTATAACAACAACTTTTCTAAATTATATTTTTTATAAACGAGAATATTTTGTAAAAATTAAAACACTTTTAGACAATATTTTTCGGCATCAATCATTTCCATGAGCTCATTTGCATATAAACTGTATTATCGACAACTTAATCGTTTCTTTTGTATTGTAAGTATTGTAAGTATGTTTATGGCTAAACGAAACCATTGAGTGATATTTTAGAATTTCTGACAATTTTCGTTGTTATTCCTACGAATTTCTGACAATTTTCGTTGTTATTCCTACGAATTTCCAACAATCTAATTGTTAGAGCGAAGGAACATGTCGAACGTAGGAGTTCGAGAAAGATTCAACCTCGAGGAAATAACTATAACTAACGAGAATAGAGAATCTGTGGTCGTGTCGCGAGCATCCTTGATACACAAAGGAGGATTATTGAAACACTTCGTAATTGTGTGTCCGAATGAACGGAATTTCATTCTCAGACTATCACTGACGTTGGAAATGCTCGAGCAATTTGCCAGGTTTGTACGAAACTATTATTTAAAAACTTACTTAAATTGGTATACGGCAGTATGAAAATATTTCCGTAAACATTGGTGCGAGTATGTAAAATAATTTGCATGTATTAACTCTTTCTCACACGGCCCACCAGTGGTCAAGCGGTCTTTGCTCCCTGAACATTGGAAGTTTTGTTTTGAGTTTACGCCTCGCTCGTATGGGCTAGCCAGGTTGAGTTTTCTTTACGTCTGTAACGCCTAAATAGCGGCCAATTTCTTTTAAAAAACACCTCCCGGAAGGCATCCCCTTTATAGGCCATCCCGTTGCCATAACTAAACAAACAAACTTTTCCACACCCTAAACAATACTCATTTCAATAAACTTAAAACAGCAAACACACATCATTTAAGATAAATAGCACATTTAACATAAACAACACATTGCATTTAAGTTTCGACAGCATTTTTCCCGTTGCTCGATCAGTTCGAACTTCGAAGAACCCAGTCGAATTTACAGCTCGAACTCTAAAGTACGAGGTACCACTGTAATATCATTATAATCAATAGAAACACTTTGGTAGATTGTTTAAGTAAGAAACCATTTATTACAGTCGATAAAAGAAAAATTCCATTCTTTTCTTATTAACATTCTCTCCCCATTAAATTATGTGATAATTATCTTCAAATCTTTCNTCAGACTATCTCTGACGTTGGAAACGCTCGAGCAATTTGCCAGGTTTGTACGAATCTATTATTTAAAAACTTACTTAAATTGGTATACGGCAGTATGAAAATATTTCCGTAAACATTGGTGCGAGTATGTAAAATAATTTGCATGTATTAACTCTTTCCCACACGGCCCACCAGTGGTCGAGCGGTCTATGCTCCCTGAACACTGGGAGTTCGGTCCTGGGTTCGCGCCTCGATCGTATGGGCTAGCCACGTTGAGTTTTCCGAGTTTTCTTCACGTCTGTAACGCCTAAATAACGACCAATTTCCCTTAAAAAACCTCCCGGAAGGGATCCCCTTTATAGGCCATCCTGTTGCCATAACTAAACAAACAAACTTTCCCACACCCTAAACAATACTCATTTCGATAAACTTAAAACAGCAAACACACATAATTTAAGATAAATAGAGCAAATAAATGTCGCAATGCAATATATATTCGAACACATCAAAAATAAAACGTAAAAAAGTACAGAATTCATCGGAGGTAACGCGAGAAGCGAGAGAACACTTAAACGCACAACCCATTGCATTTAACTTTCGAGAGCATTTTTCCCGTTGCTCGATCAGTTCGAACTTTGAAAAACCCAGACGAATTTAGAGCTCGAACTCTGAAGTACGAGGTACCACTGTAATATCATAATAATCAATAGAAACACTTTGGCAGATTGTTTAAGTAACAAACCATTTATTACAGTCCATAATAGAAAAATTCCATTCTTTTCTTATTAACATTCTCTCCCCATTAAATTATGTGATAATTATCTTCAAATCTTTCGCTTCCATTTCTGTCTTAATGCANGAAGTTAACATTTACTACTGAGAAAATGGATTTAAAGATCGGAAAGACTTTCTTTGTTATAAATTTATCAAAAAAAATATTTTTGTAAATAAACCTTGAACAATTTTTGTGAGGACCGAAAGAATCGAAGAAATTGTTATAAACGTTTTGTTTTCTGCATTTTACGATAAATTTGAAATTGGACATATTTTAGATTAAATATAGATTTATTTTTAAGATATAGCCAATAAGTCGAACATGTTTTTCTGCATTTGTGGTTCTATTTATTGATTTATGTTCGATGTTTAAATTCAGATATAACATCGTTTGACATTTCTATAGGTTTTGTGCATGAAAACGCAAATAAATTTCTCTGTGAAGATTGTGGAAAAGCCTTCCGTCGGAAAAGAGAATTAGAACGTCATCGCAGGACTCACACGGGAGAAAAGCCATTCTCTTGTCAGTTCTGCGCTCGAAGATTCAGTCATATGTGCAATTTACGACAGCACGTTAGGATTCATTCTGGAGAGATACCTTTTACCTGCGATCATTGCAAACGGAGCTTTACACAAAGACAAAGTGTAGTAAAACATCTTCGCATTCACACTGGCGAAAAGCCATTTGCTTGTGATTACTGCAAACGGAAATTTTCAAGGAAAGATCATGTAATACGTCATCTTCGCATTCACTCAGGGCAAAATACTTGAAAACTGTTTTGAAAATTCAGCTTAATTAATTAATTGATTAAGTTATCACAGGAAACACCTTCCAAATAAACATTCGTAAAGCTTTTTTTTTTCTTTTAATTTTGAAATCAATTTCTTTCAAAATTTGTCCGTTATTTTTTTAGAATTTGATTGATGTAATAAAGCAACTAAATCTTGGGCACTCTGCCATTTGGATTTGTCTCTCTGAAGAACTTTCTATAGGAAACTTGCCCCTATGTAACTGTTAGACACGTGAAAAACCCCGAAAAATCCACTCTACCAGCTCGTCTGGTCTGGTTTGGTTCGAACCTGCAAGTGTTCAGTTGTTTTATCTTATTACTTTTAACAACAAAACTATTATATTTAAATAATACTGTATATGTATACGTATATAATATAATGCAAAATATTTGACTTCAAATCATTCATCTTATCAAAAATATACTTTAAGTTTTGGATAACAGTTCTGAAAGATAATTTCCTATCTATTTTACTAAGAATTACTATTTTACAATAAAATTACTAAAAATTTTAACAGTAAAAACACGTTTTTCATACTAGAAATAATGTTAAAAAGTTCGAAACAATTTTTTTAAAATCATATAAATATTTTTAGTAATTAACAATGCATAAATTCTTCTTAATTAATTAATTTATTACTTTGATTTTAACATATTAAAATATAACAATTAAAATTAATGTTAAATTTAATTATAATTTGAATATCATCATTATAATCATTATTTAAATAATTTTTAAATTTTTAAAGTATATATATTTAATGTAAATTGAAGTTCAATAAAAAGTATTATATATATATATATATTATATTTGAAAAATTTGCAATAGAATAGAACATTATTCAGATTTGTTAAATTATATAAATTTTTTGAAACTTCAAAAACGTGAAAAGATATTTTTGTGGATGCAAACTGGTTCCAAACACTTTATCTACATGCATAGACTTTACTAACAGCTATCCATCCATATGGTTACTCTCTGACAGCTAGTAATCATTATTCTACACCTTAGTGGTCTACACCGATCGTTAAACTAGATAGGCGTTTTTCTGTCGGTCAGTGACACTTAATGGTAAAGATGAACTAAGTGTAATAATTTAAACGGGCCTTGAGTGAATGTTAGTGATTTCCACAGTAATTTTTTTTCTCTTCTTTAATCTCAATTAAACATTACTAATTTCTATTCATGAATCTGATTATTTCTGATAGATTAAATATATATATATAGAAAAGAAAAATTCGGTTTAGAATCTAGTAAAAACTTCTCTAATACTCATAATATAGATCTCTAATTTGAATATTAATGCAGAGAGTTGTTATTAAATATTTTTTTTTCCTTATTTAATATCAGTTTAGCTTCATTTAAATATTAATGTTTCGAAGTGTATAGCTAAGAATTCAAATTTATTAATATAAATAATTCATGAAAACTATATATATATATTGAAAACAATAAAATATAGTAAGAACTTCTACTTGATTAAAAAAAATATATATTAAAAAATATGACCTCAAGATAGAAAATAAAGTTAAGATTTTTATATATAAAAAAAATTCGAAAAATTGATTAAAAATTTACTTAAAATTTAAATTTTTATCACATAAAAGTCTTGTTAATCAATGCATTATACTTAATTTTATTAAATAAGCAGATAGAAATCTGTCCGATTATTTAATAAAATTGTTTAGAATTATTTAATTATTTTATTTAAACTTTAAATGCTTCTCATGTCAGATGTATCAAAGGAGATTGTTTCATCAAGGGCTTTGTTATTCAGTTAATAAATCAGCGGCAAACATAAATATATGTTTCAATGACAATTCTTGTTGTTTCTCTTGTCACATGTTCTTTCTCACTCATACTTTATGAATCAGAGAAGGCAGAAAGGTTAATTAAAATCGGAATGTCCTACTTAAAAAGTCTTTTTTTTTTTTTTTTTTTTTTCATTGATAAAGTCGTTCGTTCGTGAAGTGGAAATTTCTGAAATGTTAGAATATAGTTTAAATAAATTATTAAAATTTTTATTGAAAATATTATTCGTTTTTTTTAAAAATCATATTCATATTGTTATTCAGATTTATTTTTTTAAAAAATTTTAATTTTAGACGAATTTTATCACCTTTAAACTTTTAGAAGTAACTTTAATAAAATTATAATTTAGAATCATTTAATTTTTATAATTACAATGTCTACAGTTTTGCAAATTTAAATAAAATTACGTAAATAGTTAGATAAAGTTAACTTTTATCTATTGTGTAGCAGTGGCTTAATACAAGATGGCGAAACTTCTTAATATCAGCATTTTTGTTTGGATAAAACTAAAAAATGAAAGAAAAGAAAAAAGCATTTAAGAAAAAGAAAGAATCGTAAATTGTGCTGAATAAACACCCACTCATATAATTGCTACGTTCTTGAACGTATACAATAAGATCTTCATTTACATAAACAGGTAAATGAACCTAATTTGCATAATTGAATGCTATCCCCTTTCTTAATGCAAAAGTTGTTTTGAGAATTAGTATAAGAACATATTAATAAGTATACTTCTTGAATACGGAATTATGTTAAAATAGATTTTTCTTAAGAAAAACAAAAGATTAAAGCGTGTTTTCTTTATACATACTTTCATTTTACATCTTCTTTGCCCCCCCTTTTTTTTAAAGTTTAAGACGATTTAAATTCGACATAATTTATATTTTTAATATCTAATATTATTATAGTTTTTTTTTTTTACAATGGAATTCTCTTGGTAACGTCGAGAGTTAATTCTACTTAATGCAAAAAAGTAAAATAAAGTGTTTGCTCTGTAGTAAAGAATTTTTTGAAAAGAACCTTTAAACATAATTCCACAAACAAACCATTAAAATTTTGCTTTAAAAGTCGAAAAGACAATTAAAACACAGGAATTGAACGGTTAAGATCACGTCTAGTCAGAATCGTGACTACTGTGCTCTTTAGTAGCAGTTACCATGGAAACTTCCCCCTTTCACGGGTTTTGCTTTGCGGATGATGACCTCATGTAGACCAAATAAGGTTTAAGGACTGAAAAAAAAAACTAAGAAGAAAAAATAAATAAATAAATAAATAAAAATAAAAATAAAAACTGCAGGACGTACATATCTCCTGCTGTTGATTAGTTTCCCAAACGGAGATGTTAGCTACAAACTCTTAGCTTTAAATTTTCCTGTACTTGCTACTGACACTATTATAAATGTATTTCAATAAACAACATAAATCTTTTTAAATGCCTATAAATAACACCATATATTTTATAATTTTAAATTGCCATCCTCATAAATTTAAATCTAAATACAATACACGAGACTTCTCCTTTTAAGGCTCTACATCAATAAATTGAGCTTTATTACGTCTTAATTTAGTTACCTTAATTATAATTTATATAAAAAATTATTTAAATATTTCTAATGTATATCAAACTACACTCGATTTTATTTATCAGAACACGAAATAGTCTTGCCTATTTTCCATAACAGTAAGTGGATAGTTTTATAGAGGAGGTTTTCATTGTAACAATGACTGTCTATGGAGAAGCAATGATTATCCACATCTTTTTCTCAACAGGACATACATGTTCCTGGACCCCTCCCTCATGACAATGGATTTAGGTGGAGATACATAATAGACCTCACACAAGGCAACCATCTTTTCATTATAGAAACTAACTTGTGAATATATTTAAAGATAGAGGGTGTAGATAGTAGGAAAAGATGATCTCTTTCAGTGTTTGGTAGGAATTAATTAGAATGATCTGCATATGTAATGGCACGTTTGATAACAGCAGAAAGAAATCATAATATGAAAGAGTAGAGAATCATTATTCATTTTTCACGTATAGTAGTTAACAGATTACTTTCCCTTTTATTAATAGAGCTACTTGTAAATTTGATACCAACAATTTTATATATATATATATAATTATAAATCGTGAGCTTTTGTTAATTTAAAAAACTAATAAAATATTTATTAATTTAAATGAAATTTTTTTACAACAGATTTTCAGAAATATAAAAATAAAGTCCCTTTAAAAATTTAATTAAAATTAAATAAAATAAACCTTTTTTTAAAAAAATATATTTTCCCCCTAATTTAATTCAATATTTATGTTTAACTTAACCTTTATTTGATTAACCTAATTCTGAATTTTTTTGAACAATAGAAATCAAATGAACAAATTTAGAATTCTATTTCAATAATAATAATAATAATACATTAAATTCGAAATTTATAAATAAAATTATATTATTATTTTTATTAGTTTATTTTATTAATTCTTAAAATTTGTTTCAATTTACTAAAAAGAAAAAAATCGATACAGAATTTATTTTTGTTGATTGAAAATAAAATATTATTATTATTATTATTATTATATTCATTCTAATTAAATTAATATTGGAACAAAAAATATATATATAATTGGCATTATTATTATTATTTAAATTACGAACAAAAATAATTTACAAGATTCGATAAGGGTGGCTCAAAAATCAGTTAATCATTATGATGACTTAATTTTAATTAATTAAATAATTTAACTGAAAAAATAATTAGTTTAAATGTATTTTTTTATTATCTTTTACCAATATTGTAAAAGAGAAAAAAAAGTATTCTAAATTTATTTTATGATACGTATTCTTAAACATGTTTAAAACCACACAAAACAAAATACGGTAAACTGAATTTTGAACCACCCTGTAGAAAAAAAATATATATATATCTAATAAATTGGTAGCATTATAAAATAATAATAACAATAATAAAATTCGACTAGCTTATTAATCAGTTTAATTATTACTTTTTAAATGATATTTATTAAGTACTTTTTTACGTTTTATAATTAATTTAAAAAAATTTTAAATTAAAATAATAAAAATATGATAAAATTACGTAAAGTGTATTGTATAATTCTAAATCACATGGGAATTGTTTCTTCAGGATCACTTATTATTCTGCGGAAGGAACAGACAAGTTGATGTGTAACTCTAATCACGTTCTGGTATTGTTTGTTCTCTTTCTATATCTTTTCTTGATAT